TTCTTAACACATTGAACGGTCAAAATTGTTAACATTTGTAAAAGTTTTCATTTTTTCAAGTTCGGGAATATAGGCCCGAACATTACTTATTTGTTCGTAAACACATTCCCGAACATAGATTATTTGTTCGGGAATGCAGGCCGAATATGGAAATTTGTTAATAGTTTAAACGGTTAAAATTCTTAACACTCGTCGAAATTTTATTTTTTCAAGTTCGATAGTTCAGTTTTGAGGAAGCAATGTGAGAGAGAGAGAGATAGAGAACATATCAACTGTGACAATGATTACACCTTCTTCTTCTTCGTGAGTTTTAAAAAGGATAGGACTTCTTCTTCTTCGTAGGTTTTGTTAGGTTTTTTGGAAGGGAGGTCTTTTTGGAGGTGTGAGAAGTGTGTATTCAATGAAGATATCTTCAAAGAATTATTTTGGTATTATCTTAAAAAAAATATTTTGGTCAGCTTGGGGGTGGGAAAGGAAAGAGATCGGAAGGAGGAAGGCTAACTAACGTAAAGGTGAGAAAGGAAATGTCCATATCATATGGAAACATGAAGAGAGAGCAAGGAAGGGAATGAGACCCGCCCACCCACCACCCTATAAGAGAGAGAGAGAGAGAGAGACACACACACACACACACCAATTAAGTGACGTTCTTTTTGGGCTTTGCTTCAACCCGGCGCTGGTGATCTCTCTGCTTGTTCATATCGATCGATCTTTCTCCATTTGGCGGTTGGTTGGTTGGTTTAGTCCTAAAATCAAAATCAAAATCAAATCAAAGCTTGAAAGTAAAAAATAAAAAAATAATGGAGAGGGAGAAAAGTTCGTCAGCTGTATCGGATGTGGGCGCCTGGGCCATGAATGTTATCAGCTCCGTTGGCATTATAATGGCAAACAAGCAGCTCATGTCCCCTAGCGGCTACGGATTCAGCTTTGGTCAGTTTCTCTTTCTTTTTTTCTTTGTCTGCATCTCAGATCTGAGATCTCATCTCTCTCTGTCAAAACCTAAACCAAAACCACTCCTCTTCCGTCCTTGGGGGGGTTTTTCCCTTCCATTTTCATTTTTGTTTTCTTTTTGCTTATTGATTGAAATATTGACCTGATTGTTAATATCTGCGACAGATTCTTATTTATCAACAAATATGAACTTCATATTACCTGTTAATCACCTCCACTTGCTACATTTTTATATCTGCGAATTTGGCGATTCCAATTTGAATGTTTGAACATTTAAATATTCTGTCAGCTTTTGGATGTGTGTGTTCTCCCTCTTGTTGTACTATTCTATATCTATGTGCATACAGAAACAAATAAAATCTAAATTAGACATAATTTGACGAAGCTGTAAGTCTCAAACAGAAACAATGGCAAGATTGATATATACTAGCAGGAACATAACATATTCGAAAATGAGATGATATCTTCAACAAAAGGTACTTTTTTTTTCTTTTTCTTTTTCTTTTTTTTAATTTAGCAAATTACTCGAAAAGGGCTAAGGCAGCAGCAATGTCTCAAATTTCAGCTACAATACATAATACCAGAGGCATGTTAGTTGTGCTAGTCTCTGATTTGATGGATCTCAAATGTCTTAAGCCTTTTCCATCTTGTTGTAAGTTGGTATTGTCTAAGTGTTGTGTAATTAGCAATATGCACCAGAGGCAATGCAATAAGCTAATCAATTTATTAATTTTTTTTTAACATTCTTCTCTTGAAGGAGGAGTTAACACCTTTGAACTACTTTAAAATGTCCTTTAACAAGACAAGTGTGGGTAGGTTTAAAAAGGATTTAAATTGTGAGAACTTCAATTATAACAGAAGCCTTTAGATTTCATTATAATATTTTCACTAAAGAAGGATAAGCAGGAGATAATTTCAATAGATCTACTTCTAATCTGCATGAATAGTGCTTGGACCTTTCTGTTTTTCATAATGTTCCAATTTTTTGTGGTAAATTGGTTGAAATTTTGCTCAAGAAGGTGAATTTTATAAGTAGCTGCATTGACACCAGGAAAATTCAACTAAGTTGTTGCATTGACTAATAGATGAGGGTGGGGAAAACTAAGTAAAATTTGTCATCTTTTGTGCTTGCAAGAGAAACGGTGGCATTACAAGAAGGATGTTGAGCTAAAAAGCATGGACACAGACACGTGACATGACACGGATACAACACGCCGACACGCTAATTTTCAAAAAATGCAGGACATGACACGTGGAGGACACACATGAAATATATAATTTTATATATTTGTTATATGTTTTATATATATGAATATATCATTCAAAGATAATAAAAAATGTAATGTGATACTAATTTATATAAATTTATATGGTTTTTGTTTTATTATTGTGTCTTAAGTTGTTTTGTTCAAACTTATAATTAATTTCACATGTGTTTAATTGATAGGTACGTGTGTTTAAGTAATAGACACGTGTGTCCTCTAAGTGTTCAAAGAGTGTTCGGGTCCTTAAAAAAATTTAAAAAATAGGATACATTTTGAAGAGTGTCAGACACATGTCCTAGGAGTGTCCAAAGAATGTCGGTGTCCGACACGGACACGACACAGATACGTCACTTTCTTAGAAGCATCCATGCTTCTTAGATGCTGAGATAGTGGTGAACAATAAATTCATGACAGGAAATTATGCATACATATTATTTCTTATAGGTTTTGTGATGGCAAATGATCATTGAATGCATGCGTGTTACTCTTTCACATCTTATGATATGAACTACGAAGTTTAACTGGTCTGTTGTTTTTCTGGCCTCAAAAAATATTTATTAAAAAAAAAAAAAAACTGTTCAAGTAATTTTTTTTACTGCTTTTCCAGCCACTACTTTAACTGGCTTCCACTTTTCTATGACGGCATTGGTTGGTTTGTTGTCAAATGCTACTGGTTATTCTCTGTCAAAACATGTTCCACTATGGGAGCTTCTCTGGTTCTCAGTTGTTGCCAACATGTCAATCACAGGGATGAACTTTAGCCTCATGCTGAACTCTGTAGGATTTTACCAGGTGCATAATATGTCAAGTCTTGCTGCTTGCTTGGTTTCATGTTGGTATTCCCACCCAAATATATCATTGTCTCTGTTGGTGCAGATTTCAAAGTTAAGCATGATTCCGGTGGTTTGCATAATGGAGTGGATTCTTCACAGCAAACACTATACAAGGGAAGTCAAGATGGCTGTGGCAGTGGTTGTTGTGGGGGTTGGTGTCTGCACAGTGACTGATGTAAATGTCAACACCAAAGGTTTCTTTTGTTCTGTTGTGGCAGTTTTGTCCACATCATTACAACAAATTGTGAGTATTATTCAAGGTTTGCCTTTTTTTTAATATTTAAAAGGAAAAATGACCCTTAAATAATACATCTAATGTAGAATGAACTATTATGGGCTTCTGTTTTTACTGTTGTTCAAACTGTGGAGAGAGAAACATTAGAGAGAGAGAGAGAGAGAGAAGAATGACAAATAATGGCTTACTCTACACATAGGTGTGTGCCCGTTAATTTGGATGGAAAATCTGATGGTCTGTTTTGGTCCACAAACTACAAGGGTCTATGTGCTTATTTTCAATTGACAGGATGGTCTGTACATGAGCCAAACCACAAGGGGGTAAAGTGAAATTTGCCCAAATTTTAAATATCCTTAGCCAGTTTGATGGATTGGCCGGCCTATGAGTCTTATTCTTCTGCCATCTAATGGCTTGTGATGTTGATTCTTCAGAAATTTACCAGAACTAGCGCACTCACAGCTCATTTGAGATTGTAGCTGTGAAAACTAATCAAGTGTTAGCCTTCAATCATTTCTGGACTCTATCCTTTAGGAACTATCCAATAAATAGTTTTCTTATTAGCCTATTGTTCAGCCCAAAAGAAGAAAGTCTTCCCACTTTCCTAGGTCGCAGCACCATATGAATCAATTTCTTAGCTTTTTTAAAAATCCTTCCTAGTCCACAACAATTCTGCCCCTAGGTTGGCTTGGAAGAAGCAATCCTTATTTACGTACAGATATGAGCGTTTTGGTTTCGATTGATCTTCCCCAAACCAAAATTTTGTTTTCATTTGCTCAAAGCTTACTAATTATGTTTTGACTTATCCTTCTTCAAACCCAAGGGCGAAGAACCTTTTTATGCGATTTGCTTATATGAATTGAGCAAATTCATACTAGTAATTCCCTGTTGTGTAGAGTGGAGAGGCTGAATGGAGACTCTCAGCAAGATTTTAGGACAGCCTGTATACCTAGTTTTGCAGGTACCCTGCTAATTTCTCACGGTTGCATGAGACATATTATGTCAAAAAAGCATGCTTAACAAAAACAAAAATGATCTCAAAAGCATGTGTTCATATTTGGCCTAGTTCCAATTTAGGTTGCTTGGAATAGATAAGGACTTAATCTATCATTCTTGATTGTTCTTTACAACAAAGTTTTTGATTATTATCTCTGATATTTATTGCATTATTGTTTTTGTGAAACAGTCAATTGGTTCCCTACAAAAGAAGTACTCAATAGGCTCTTTTGAATTGCTGAGCAAGACGGCTCCAATACAAGCACTCTCTCTTCTTCTCCTTGGTCCTTTCATTGATTACTACCTTACTGGCAAATTTATATCAAACTATCGCCTCTCCTCCAGTGCATTTGTAAGTAGTCTTCACTCGTTACTACCTTGTCATCAATTTATGTTGGCTTCTTGTGAGTTTATCAGACAGGTCATTGGTATATATAATGAATGGGTGATTAAAAAATGTGCAGTTCTTCATACTGCTCTCATGCTCTCTGGCAGTATTCTGCAATGTCAGCCAGTACCTCTGCATTGGACGCTTTTCAGCAGTTTCCTTCCAGGTGTTAGGCCACATGAAAACAGTTTGTGTCCTGTCATTAGGGTGGCTGCTCTTTGATTCAATAATTACATTAAAGAACATTCTTGGAATGGCCGTTGCAGTTGTTGGCATGATAATATACAGTTGGGCAGTAGAGGTTGAGAAGCAAGCTGATTCCAAGACCATGCCTGGTATGAAAAACAGCTTGTCAGAAGAGGATATTAAACTATTGAAAGCTGGACTAGAAGAAACTGCAGTCAAGGATGTTGAGCTTGGTGACTCCAAATGATAGGTTGACATTCCTTAAGCTGTAAACAGAAGAAATGCTTCACTTTCTTGCATCATCGTGTCAAATTCTTTTGGCTTTAATCTATGTTGTACGAAGCCATAAGATAGGTAGAGTGCATTATGTGACCAATATGTACACATTTGCCACAAAATGCATTCAATTCTAGACAAGCTCATCTATCGCAAATTTTATTTTTTTCTCATCTTTTCTACTATTATGGTAGAGAGCGTTTGCTTGAGCAATGTTCTCCTAATTGATTGTTGTAAAATTTCTACCTAAATGGTTTTCAAACTCAAAAAGTGCGGAGTGTTAGATCATCTCCAGTCGTGTATCAAACTTATCATCAAATTTGAATTTGATGAAAAATGGTTGCTTTTTCAACTTCAACGGTTTCATCAAATTGGTATTAAATCAAGAATATCAAAAATGTTTTATCAAATAGAGGACGTCTGAGAGCTTTTAGTATTTTAGTGTTTGGTGCCATTGATTTTGTAGAATCGGACAATTAGGCGGACGTCCGGCGAGATGTTCCCCGGTCATCCGCTTTGTTGAAAACTTCCCACAGCAAAGTATACTCTCGGAATGGATTACTCTTGTCGGTCGATCGGTCAGACTTTCGCCTGGTCATCCTCCCGGTCGATCGGTGTGTTAATGATAGCCAAAAATGCTCCATTTGAATACTGGATATTAAATAAAATTTTTACTCAAATTTAATAAAATAAATAATACACCTTTAGAGATGTTTCTATATCCATGACTGATCTCACGTTTTGTGCATCAGCCTCTCATTGATTGATTCTAAGGGTTTGTTTGGGAAGTGGATTGACTTTTTGATTATTTTAGCCTGAGATTAAAAAATCTTGTGTTAGGAAGATTTTTTGACTTTTTAAACTTTTTATGAGAAAAATAGTGTAATGATTATGGATTAGATGTGATGTTTTATCTTATAAGACTAAAATATTTATTTTATCTTTTTATGACTAAAATAATCTCAAACTTAACCTAACCCTTCTTCCGAAAAGAAGCCTAAATCAATCAATTTTAGACCTATTAGAGCATTGTCAATAGCGATATTAAAATTGACTGTGTTAGTGTATGCTAACCAGCAAAGCATTTGTTTAATTAATGCTCTAATGCACATGTCAGAGAAAAATTATAATTTGCTCCTAGGCAATTTTAAATGGTGTCCCAACTAAGCCCGTAAATGGATCGGATTCATCAAAGTCTGAATTCGATCTAATTAAGACAAACTCGAATCTGATTCGAATTCGTTTAGCTCATATCCGATTATAAATTACCTGAATCCAAATTTGATGCTTTCGGATATCCGATCCAATAATTCTATCCGATCTATTTATTTATTTATTGAGTTATAATTTTATATAATTTTTTTTTTTCCATGTTGTGTTTTCTTCATTCAAATTGAGAATAATCAGATCGGACTTTTTGCATATTCGATCTATTTAATAAATGGATTCGGATTACCGAATTGAATTTTTTTGTAAATGAATTTGAATTTCTAATCAGATTCGGGATGAATTCGAATTAAATTCGATCCATTTACAGTCTTAGTCCCAACTTATATATTATTGGCTAACAAGGTGGATCATATTATTTTTTTGTCTCTTATATTATTGGCTAACAAGGTGGATCATTTTTTTGTCTCATTTGAGGAGACAAAAGGATATTTGTCTAAACATAAATGGTGTGGAACAATGTTCCAAAACCATCAAATAACTTCTTCATGTCAAAATTAGGGTTGTGTAAAATATTGCTCAATCTGCTAAAACTTTCCAAGCCGCCACGATTCATATGGTAATTGCGAATTAAATTTTGAAATTTATAATCTGCCTTTAAATCTACTCTGCATTGCTATAGTTAATACGTATTTTTTTTAACATCTAATGAAATATCAGAGTAAAAATGAGTATGAAAAATATTTAAGATGTAAAATTTATTGTAAATTAATAATTATATATGAATAATATTATGTAAAATTAGTTTATATTATATATATTAAAAATATTATCTAATTAATGTTATATTTTAAGTAAATGATTGATAATTGTTTAAGAATATTTTTCAATCAATTAGTAAATTAAAACCATCTCAAACCACTTAAATTGTAATTTATTTTTTAATTCTTCATTCCTAATTTGATTTATATTTTTTTTAATAAAATAAGGAGCAAAGTAATTTTTTTTTTTTACCAATGATAATATTTTAAAATAAACACAACTTTTGTAGATCCACTCACCAGTAATTGAATTTGACCTGTCAACTCTTCAAACAAAATACGGTACACGGTTATGATGGGATTAAATGAAAAGATTATTAATGTAGTAGTATTAGAAATGTAAAATAAAATATGTTTATTAAAGAATAGTGCGGTGATATTAGTTGTTCGAGATTAAATCTATATAATTATATAAAAACTTTTATTATATATATATATAAACAATTTGTTTGGTAAATAGAGGACAAAATAAACATTTTGCTTCAATCCAAGGGAATTGGATAGGAGTGATTCTACTTATACTACTAGTTTATCTCTTTACACTGAGAGGCTCTATCTACACACACCAAATTCCCTTTATACACACACTTAATGATATTTAATTTTGTTACAATTTTATCTCTAAGTGAAATTACTATTTTAGACATCATTGTTGATTCAAAACATCTCAATGCACACATCCATCTCCAGTTCACATTTGTTGCATCGTGGGTCCAAGTTTGTAACTTCATTGAGCTAGAAGTGAAAGCAGAGTATTCACTCATTCCTATCTTCTTCCAAGTTCGTAGCTTCTCAATGCACTCATTCATCAACCTTCCTCATTCGTAGGAAAAACATCATTGTTATGGAGAATTTGCCTTCTGAAAATCAGCAAATAAGTGTTTATGAGAAACATAGCGAAGGAAATGTGAGTTTCTTCTTTCTTTCTTTTTTTTCTGACGTCGTTCGGATAACCAGAGTCGAATTGTATTGTTTGGTTCAGAAATCTACTACCGAAATAAGTGTTTAGTTTCGGAAGTTGTTGTCCGAACAAAATAATAAATTTCGGAAGTTGTTGTCCGAACAAAGTATTTAAATTCAGAAGTTGTTGTCCGAACAAAGTCAACTTTTACAACATTCAACTTCCGAAATTTGAAAATAAATTCGGCCAACTACTTCCGAATGAAGTAAAAAAAAAATTTCCCATTTTATATTCCAAATTTGCAAATTGCATACCAAATTTACAGTTTTGAATTGCAAATTAATCTTTATAATGCCATTAAAAATTTGTAATGTTATACAAAACATGTAGGAATATGTGTCAACTCAAGGAAGTCAGGTTTGCGTGGATTTTGTGTTGGATTACACTACTCAATTCACAACTGAACAGGTTCACTCTACGAAATTATAATGGTTATATTTCGAATTGCTCACCAAATGTAAATGTTTGATAATATTTATTTGACTTTGTAGGTATTCAAAAGTAAGGATGAATTGCTCAACTGGGTACGTGAAGTTGGAAAGAGAAATGGTTTGGTCATTGTAATCAAAATATCAAACTATGGTGGAGGAAAAAAAAGACCCAGGATGTATATTGCTTGTGAGAGGAGTGACCAATATAGAGCGACAAAGAAGTTAAAACATGATGGCAACAATACATCAAGAATAATCGGTACGAATAAGTGTGGTTGTCCTTTTGATACGAGGGCTCACAGGTTTACCACACATGATGAATGGACATTGACCGTAGTATGCGGATTGCATAATCATCCACCTGCGGAGCACCTTGAGGGACATTCATATGCGGGGAGGCTATCAAAGAACGAGAAAGCATTGTTAATGGATATGTCAAAGAGCATGGTTCGACCAAAAGAAATCCTAGTAACCTTGAAACAGCGAGATGCCCTCAATGTAAGCATACTTAAAACCATTTACAATGTACGCTATCGAAACAGGGTGGTACAGAGAGCTGGAAGATCACAGATGCAACACTTATTAGGTGAATTGGCCAAGTATAATTACATTGAGCGCCATCGGTCTGAAGAGTCCACGATGACTGTGACAGACTTGTTTTGGGCACATCCTACCAGTTTGGACTTATTTCGGTCTTTCCCACGTATATTAATTATGGATTGCACATATAAAATCAACAGATATCGTCTTCCTCTTCTTGAAATTGTGGGAGTGACATCAACTAAAATGACATTCTCTGTAGCTTTCGCATACTTACAGTATGAGAGGGTCGATAACTATGCGTGGGTGTTAACTATATTGCGTGATGTCATGGATGGTTTTGTTGTGCCAACAATTATTGTTACTGACAGAGAGCTAGCCTTGATTAACTCCATACAGAAGATATTCCTAAGTGGCAGACATTTATTATGTCGTTGGCATATCAGTAAGAATGTATTGACCAAATGCAAGAAAATATTTGAGACACAGCAAAAATGGGAGAAGTTCAACCATGAGTGGAACTCTTTAGTGTATTCATCTTTTGAAATTCAATGCAATGAGCGTCTTAAATCTTTACTTAAGGAATTCAGTAGTTATCTTGATGCAGTCAAGTACGTCATGGATACTTGGTTGGTTCCTTACAAGGACAAATTTGTGGCGGCATGGACAGACACGTGTATGCATTGTAGCAATGTTACAACGAACCGGTAAGATTACTTTTCTTCAATAGGTTATTAATAAGTGCCATGTACTTGAGTTTAATTTGACTTACATAGAATTGAACAAGGCTGAGAGTGCACATGCAAAACTTAAAAGACAATTGGGTTCATGTCAAGTCTCATTTCAGGCATCATTTGAGAAAATACACAGTCTGCTTGAGTTGCAACACACTGATATCAAGGCTTCATTTGAGAAAAGTCTAACGGTTGTGCAATATCAATTTAAACCTTCTCAGTTCAGGGAGCTACAGGGTAATGTGTCTATCTCTGTATTGGAGTATTTGCTTGTAGAGAGTAAGAGCGCCAATTCCATTGGTATTGATGTTGAAGCTTGTGGATGCGTCCTTCGCCACACTCATGGTTTACCTTGTGCCTATGAGATTGCTGACTACATCAGACAAGATCGTCCTATACCACTTGCTACCATACACTCACAGTGGAGGCAACTTCATATCTCCGTATGCAACAAAGAAGACGAAACAGAGATGACTTGTCATACAGAAGTAGAGTTGCTTGTGAACAAGTTTGATGAAAGTGATAGAACCATGCGGTTGGAGCTTTTGAAGAAGTTGAAAGAGATTGTATATCCGGGAAGCACTTTTCTTGTTGAGCTGGAGGTGAAGCCCAAAACACGTCCTCGGGATCATAAGAAGATCAATGTTTCTACCCGTCGTGACCCGTGTGCATTTGAGTTTGTGCAATCTAGACATGATTCCTTCTCACCTAGGGACACTCAAATCACTACATTAGTTTCTACTCTGCAAACCAAGAAGAAACGACCTGTTAAGGGAAAGGAGAAGGTGAATCCGAAAGGGAAGGTATATATTACTAGAACAGTGAAACCTGGTGCATATGTTGATGCTTTCCCTTCTGGGTTGAAACCATACATTAAGTTTGTCAATGATGTAGCTGCAGATGGGAATTGTGGTTTCAGGGCTATAGCTGCTTCAATTGGTCATACAGAAGATGATTGGGCTCAGGTTAGGCGTGACCTATTGGGTGAGCTGCACACACACAAAGAGGAATACATTACTTTATGGGTCCTACGAAAAAGGTTTGAAGAATTGACAAACCCAGGATGTATCTTGCTTGTGAGAGGAGTGGCCAATATAGAGCAACAAAGAAGTTAAAACATGATGGCAACAATACATCAAGAATAACCGGTACGAAGAAGTGTGGTTGTCCTTTTGATATGAGGGCTCACAGGTTTACCACATATGATGAATGGACATTGACTGTAGTATGCGGATTGCATAATCATCCACCTGCGGAGCACCTCGAGGGACATTCATATGCGGGGAGGCTATCAAAGGATGAGAAAGCATTGTTAATGGATATGTCAAAGAGCATGGTTCGGCCAAAAGAAATCCTAGTAGATTTGATCAAGTTGGCATGGATTGAATGTTATCGACCATTGTTACCATTCCATTGTAATAAGAAAATATCATTTACAAAATCAACGACCATTGTTACCATTCCATTCTAATAATAAAATGTCATTTTCAATGGTATCAACCATTGTTGCCATTCCATTCTAATAAGAAAATATTAACCATTGTTACCATTACAACAATATCATCTTACAAAAAATACCAAAAAAAATCCACCAACTAACAAATAACATGTCACGAATCAGCTGCATGCCTACGCCTAGGCCTACGACTGTATGTCAATGTCGAAGATGGAAAGCGACCTCCAGTATAACTAGGTCCAGCAGAACTAAGTTCAGCTTCGTCAATGTGCTGACCTTCAAGGACATGCATCATACTCTCGATAGCCTGGTAAAGTCGATAAGGATGTCGAATCCCCTCCTCATAACCAGCGTCAATAATAGGATGTGAAATCCGCAGTGCATGTGCAATACGCTACATTTGAAAAGAATATCACATTTTATGGAACATATCAGAAAATACAAAGCAAGTTACAAATGCATAAAAGAGGATAATATATTACATCAGCATGTTGACTGAAATCCTGATGGTCATGGACACGCGGTTCATCAGTGTGCTCAACATATAGGTGCGTGATATTCTTATACTAATCCATGTAACCTGATACACATTCCCACGGCTGACGAACTGGTGTGCTCCTCCATTGCTCAGATAACACGTGGTTATCCCAAGCCTCCCAGATCCTATCCAAGTATCTATACATGACTGTATATCGTGCAGATATGTTGCCTCGAGCACCACGACTGGGAGCTAGCGATGCATCTGGGATGGTTTGAACCCTGCCAAACTGCCTCAGAACTCTATCTGGATGATAAGGTATGACAACGTCTAAGCACTTTAAGCATCCAGGGTAGAACGTAACTGGGTTACATGGATGCCGGTCTCTGCAGCTGTGGTATGGATCCCAAATAACCTGTAAACGTGAAGTGTTTTTGAATTAAAGTATATAAAGGGTAAAATAAATGGAAAGTGTTAAAATTATCTCAGGATGAGTAAACTTACATCAGTAGCTACCAAACTGTCAAGCTCGGCTCGAAAAGATTTCAAATGATCAATGGAGGAACCCGCCTCTCTCCTAGATGCCCAATGGTACACGTGTGGCATGTCTTCATTGTAGCCCATGTTCTGGTGAGGTCGGAATGCTCGGAAGTGCTCATAAATCCACGCCTCCAAACGAGTCATATAACCACCTATCTGTTTAACCCCGGACCGACTAGCATACCCCAACTGTCTGTATAAAAATGCTAATGCAGCAACACTCCAGGCGTAAGTATGAATGGATCCCAAATCCATCAATAAGCCAAGGTAAACAACAGAAACCCTGCCGCCACTCTTGTCATTGAAGAGTGTACATCCCAACAGAAACAACAAATAAGCTCTAGCAGCGCACTGTATAGCCTCCTCGGGGTCTGAATCTGTGACACCAGCAAACTAACTTCGCAACCGCTCAAGCCTGACTGAATTGCCACCAGCAGAAGAAACCTCTTCATGTGCTGCACGTTCAGTAATCCCCAAGCCATAAACCAGTAGTGTAACTCCATGATGATCTGTCACATCTAGTACGCTGACTGATTTGCCTACAATGGAAAGGCCAAGAATAGTGCCAACATCATCCAGGGTCAAGGTCATATCACCAATTGTCATGTGAAATGTGTTCGTCTCAGGTTGCCATCTCTCAACAAAATTGGAGATTAGAAGCTTGTTGACGAACTGATAAGTGCAACGAGCTAACTGTGACAGCCCAGACTGCTCAATAATGGCTTTGAATGTGGTGTTGTTGCCTACTGACCACCATGGCCATGCAAAGATCTTCGAAGAGTGATTATGACACTTTAGGGGCCCTCGTTCCTATAACACAAATAATATCTCATTAGAAACTATCATACAACACACATAGGAAAAAAAAAATTTCATATACAAATGAATTTCACTTCTACTCAGGAATGTTTACCTCTCTGTAATGACCCCAAAATGCGTATAAGAAATCATCTTTATTTACCTATGAGAGGATGTGTTTTAATTTAATTATATCTATTAGAATTGACGCATTATCTGTTGAGTTACGGACTTCAAATTGAAATTACCGACCTTTATGGGTTCAGAAATCAAAATTGAGTACTTGGGTATGTTAATGGGAATTTTTAGAACTATTGGGGAAAATTAATTGGAAATCTAATTTGTCTGATTCGTTAATGCACGTTTGGGTGGTTAACTTTGTACTGCAAATTGAAGACCCTAGAGACTTCAGAAACCAGAACAGGGGACATATTTATGATCAGCACAATTTTTAGAGTCACCTGGGAACTTTAATTGAAATTTTATTTTGCGCAATTCGTAAGGCCACGTTTGGTTCTCCCGATTGTGTTAAGCCTTGTGTGTGTGTTTATTTAGATATATAGATATGTTTGTGAGTGTTTGGCCTCATCTTTTGGAAGCCAAAATATCTAAAAGAGAGAGAGAAGAACCATGGGGGAGAAAAGAGAGGGGAGACCAAGAAGAGCTTAACAATCATGGTGGTTTGAAGGGAATTGAAGATAGAAAAGGGAGAACAACCATGGAAGCTTGGAGAAATCAAAGAGTGAACTAAGGTAAGATTAATTATCTTGAATCCTTATGTTTGAGACATCAATTTCATGAAATCATGATAATAAGGGAAGCTTTGAACCCATTTGAGTTAGGGTTTTATGTATATATATTGATTGAATCTTGATTTCCTTAGAATTTCTTGATTGAAGAAGTATAGGCATTATATTTGTTTAGTTTGAGGTTATAATGGTTGATGGAGAATAATAATATGAAATTGGTCATGTATTAAAGGGTTTTGGGCTTTGATTTACATGTAATTAAGGTTTGATTTTGAAAATGAGAAGTCCCAAATTTTCAGCCATTTTCGGACTGCAAACTGTCCAGGCCGCACGTGTGGCACTGTTCCCTCGCACGTGCGGAGACAGCTCTGTCCAGCCAACTTTGAACAAGCATATCTTTTGTATCCGGACTCCGTTTTGAGTGATTCTTAAGCCTGAAATCAAGCCCCAGAAGTCTAGTTTCTAATGGCAGTGGTCTCACGCCCAAATTCTAAATACAGAAATAGTTATGCCCAAATTAGTGACGACTGTTCACTTTCTGTCAACCAGTTTTGTACCATTTCTTCACCTAAACCATTTCCCTATGATTCTGTATAAGAATTTCATACAAACTATTAACACTGTGAAGTTGGTTAATAGAAAAGAATTGCGTATCAACGACATTATTATGTAATTCATGTTATGATATGAATTGTTCTGGCCTGTTGATGTAATGGTACATTTACCTTTGGATTATTGGTAATGTTAAGGTTCTGTTAATTACGAAACAAGTATGTCTACTTACAAAGAACCATGAGGAAATCTAAGCGCATCATTGTACCATATGTTCTGTTTGCTATTGACAATTAATGTTACCATTCTGTTATCTGCTAGTTAGTGGCATTGAAACATGATAAGCAAATGGGATGTATATGCATTATGGAACGGTGGTATCTACGTATTTCTGAAAGTGTTCATGCTGTAAAATATGTTTACCTTTTGCTAACAATTATCGGTAACGTTCTGTTAAACTTATGTTATCTATGTTCATTCATGTGATTAATGAGAAGAATGTGTTTATCTATTTTAATCTGTTCTGATGTTTTTTGGTGTGGAACAAAGTGCTGTACGGAACTAAGTGCTATACCTTGGTGGGAGCCACCTCTAGAATCCGTACGAGCCACCTCTTGAGTCCATACATCTGTTATTTCTGTTATTTCTGGGCCGATGGCCGTTCTATTATTTCTGGGACGATGGCCGTTCTGTTATTTTTGTTATTTCTGGGCCAATGGCTATTCTGATATTTCTGGACCCATGGTCGTTCTGCATCTGTAGGCCTATGGCTGTTTTGTATATGCTGGGCTTAAAGCCACTTTGTCACGAAAATTGGACCTATGGTTGTTTTGGAAATAATTACGGAATGTAGTTAATCATATGTATCTGCAGTTATATGTTTTATTATTCATGTTAAACATTACATTATTTATGTACTATTATTCACTGAGTTCACTCATTCTGTATTTTGTCCATCTATTTCTGTAGGTAATCAACCGGGAGTTCAGTCCTAACCTTTAAGGCTCGTCTTTCTCTTGTCAACTTTGATGCGTCCAGGCACCTACCTGAAGCCGTGCATTTTGTAAAGTGTTGTTAGGTTATTGGCTTATGCTTTGGTTGTCTTTCATTAATATTTTCGTTACACACCCAATTGTGGGTCTAAGTATGAATGCATAAGTGTGTAACGGAAGTTCAGGTGTATGTTTCTATATATTATGTACCTAATGCAATGTGTGCGGTCCTGGCATGGTAGTGGTAGCTCAATGGATGATGTTTTTATGTTATTTTATAATGGTAATACTTCCGCTCAAGCCCCATATGTTATGTATAACAGGTTAAGTGTCCGTTTCTGAATAGGTCATGCCCAAAACTTTTAGGGGCGGGTTTGGGGTGTGACACTCCCCGTGCCAAACAGCTGCAGCGACATGACTATTGAAACTCCGCAGTATTGATGGATCAGTCGATCCACCTGGAAAAGCATGAGTAAGGTTCTCTTCCTAGACAGGAGGAGAATCAGGTAAAGAGGCATCCTCCACAGCATTGTCAGGCATATCATAACCTTGAACTCGTCTTTGGCTTCGGCTCCGACTTTGACTAGCACTGGGGATAGCATATTTTACCGAAACTGGATCACGACCTTGACCACGACCTTGACCTCGTCCTCGCCCACGCCCTCGTCCCCGTTCATGGTCTACATCCAATTCACGACGTCGTCTATTTGAAGCAGTAGGTGGGACACGTTGTTGACATCCAGAATCCATATTATTTGCAAAAAATAATAAGTGTGTGTAATGAGTGTGTGTAAATAAAGAATGGCCATGCAAACAAGTGTGTGTAAATAAAGAGAGTGTGTGTAAAATTATAATAAGTGTGTGTAAAATTAATGAGAGTGTGTGTAAAATTATAATAAGTGTTTATTCAAGTGAAATTACTAATAAGTGTTTAACAAAATTATAATAAGTGTGTGTAAATTATAATAAGTGTGTTTATTAAGTGTGTGTAAAGAGGGGAATGGGGATGTGGAAATATAAGCTCCCTTCAAACAACAATATACAACAGAAAGGGGAAAAAAAAACCTGTTCGGAAGTTCACAACCGAAAATACCTATTCTGTTCAGAAGTTGAAATCCAAAACACAAACATAATTTCGGAAGTTGAGTGTTGACAAAATTCAAATTTTTTTGGAAGTTGACTATCGAAACAATGAAACATTTTCGGAAATCTACTTATGAAATTATTGATTATTTTCGGATTTCTACGTCCGAACCAATTGTTATATTTCGGAAAACCAGTTCCGAACGACGGTTACAAATGAAAAACTCTACATTACAAGTGAAAAACTCTACATTACAAATGAACATGGGGTATGCTAGCCGTTGGGAACTATTTGGCAAATGAAAAAAATTAAAGATTGGTGAAAAAAGTTACCCTAACTGTGTGAAGCAGGGAGCTATTTTCACCGTTGGGAGAGCAATGTGAGAGATGCAACGCAGCTTCAATGGGTGTATTTGCACTGTTGGGAGAGCAATCTGAGAGATATAGCTTCAATGTGTGTGCACCGTCGGGACAGCCGGGTTTGAGGGTGTGTGTGCGTCTGTGTGTATGTGTGAGAGTGTGAGGGTAGATGTGGAATCAAATGTGTGTGCAGTGAGTAAAAGAATTAGGGATTATTTTTTTGGGTGTGTGTAGTGAAAAGGATGTGCAAAGAGGGGATTTGGTGTGTGTAGATAGAAGCTCCCCTTTACACTCTTCATATGAATTTTTTTTTCCAATTTTACCCATGTGTAAAATTAATTTTAAGAACAAAAGACTAAAATTAAATATATTTTATTATCTCTCTACCCCTATTACTCTTCAATCCCTATTGCTCTTCTTCGCTTTTCAATTTTTCTTTTCTGCTATATATTTTTTTTCAAAAAGTGAGAATCATAGTGTTTTAATTATAGAATGGTGATGAAGAACCATAAAAAAAGTGAAATGGTAATTTTTTTATTTTTATTTTGGTAGGTTTTCATTTCGTTTTTTTATAGAGTTGTTTGACTTTTATTCGGTGTGTCAAAATCGAATAAAATAAAATAAAATAGTCTAAAATTACATTACCGAACAAAAAATATATGTCCAGTAACCCACTGTCAAATAAAAGATATATTTCGAGTAACTCAAGATCGAACGTTTTTAATTTGTTCGGTTACTCATTACTGTAAATTTTCAATTTTATTTATTTTTATTTATTTATGTAGAAGGCTTATGTTTCTATTCATTGCAGCAATATAAGTACAATCATCTGGCTGCTGAATATCTTTAGTAGCACTCATTTGCTAGTAGATTATATGAGGAAGAAACATCCTTATTAGTTAACATGTCATGTTTGGAAAATTGGCTATTTTAGTATGTTAAAATTTTTGTATTTACAAAATGGTTAGATTTTTTTTTTTGAGTAATGATTGAGACCCTCACCCCATAACACCCCCCATAAATCTGAACCATTCATGATGTGGACTTCATACATACATGAGTGGGTCCCACACATATATGGAGGGTCAGGATCACTTTGAGGATGTAGGGGTCATCCCCAAAGGGGGTCCCAAACATTTTCCTTTTTTTTTTATAGTTGGATATGATGTTTGCGAGATAAAAAGTAAAATGATTACTATGGTTTGATGTGACATTTTTTCTTATTAATTATTTTAGCCTATTTTATCTTTTTATGAATTTTACCAAAATAAAAAAAAATAAAACCCAACTTGCCAAACAGGGCCAATGAGTATTGTCCAACCAAAATAGACATTGATTACATTGAAACGAATGGATGCCTTTGATGTGATAACAATGAAGACAATATATAACACACATAAAGCAACATGTACCTGGACAAATTTATTTTAGTTCGATAACATGACACTAGAGTAATATAATTTGTATACGAACATGCACTTCACAAATAAACTCCAACTAATTTCTTGTTAAAGTAAAGTAAAATCATCTAATTGAACGACAACAAATGGCTAGAAAAAATTAGTTTGTTTGGTAACTTGGCACTAGAATCATTTAAATTTTTTAGCATTGTATTATCAAAAACTATTGGTGTAAATGGACAAAACTTAAAGAGTTTGAAGAGTTTTTAATTTAACATTAGTTTTGATAGTATAATAGGTATAATAAGAATTACTTTTTGTTTAGTGGTATAATGAAATAAAAGGTATAAATAGATAAATTAGTGGTGTAAGTAGAATTACTCTTAGATTAACAATTCCACCCCCTTATGTTGTGTTTAGTTAGAGGATTTAAGAATGGATTTCAAAAAGAAAAGAGAAAATGAAGATAAAATATGAATAAAATATATCTATATTTTACTTAATTTTACATACTTTTTCTCTTTTCCTTTCTAAATATGAAGATTGACCAATAAGTCTCGTATTTTGGACTTGTGATTTATATAGTCCCATATTTTTTTTTTTTTTTGTGATCCATTTTGACCTTTTGGATGTATAATGACTCATTTGCCTGCCACATTGGAATGTCACATTTGGAAAAAGTACACTAATTTATTTATTTATTTTTAAAGTGTCACATTATACTTGCCACATTGGAGTGTTACATGTCACGTTTGGAAAAAGTATACTAAAAATTTTTTTTTAGTGTCACATCATACCTGCACATTGTCATATTTGGAAAAAGTACGCTGAGGAGTTTTTATTTTTTTTTAGAGTGTCACATCATACTCACCACGTTGTCACGTTTGGAAAAAGTATACTAAGGAGTTTTTGTGACATACCCACCACATTGTCACATTTAAGAAAAGTACACTAAGGAATTTTTAGTCTTTTTGGAATGTCACATCATATCTGCCACATTGTCATATTTGGAGGGGAAAAAATACACTAAAGAGTTTTTAGTTTTTTTTGAAGTAGAAGTCTTGGGGTGTCACATCATACTCACCACGTTGTTATATTTAAAAAAAGTACACTAAAGAGTTTTTAATTTCTTTAGAGTATCACATTAATACCTGTCACATTAGATTATCATATCACCTGTCATTAATAAAAGGATATAGTTGTTCACCAAAACACTACAAAAATAAAAAAATAAGACTACGTGGAAAGAAATTCACCACTAATAGGACTTAATAAATCAATAAAAAAAAAATTTAGAACTAATTAAAGTACTTGTTTGTGATATGAGATTTATTGATAAATATTCCTTCTAAATACTTCAACCAAAAAAGAATGCTAATCTTATTCCCCTTAACACTCATAATCCTTTACCATATAGCACAACCAAATATGAATTTGGAGAGACCCACAAAAATTGAACCCACCTGCATATTTGCAATTTCGACCTGCTCACATATGTGTGATTTGGGAAAAATTAAATTTGCAATCGCCTGCAGTACGGGTTACGATTTGTGCGGATAGGGTTCGTGACTGTGCGGACGGTTTGCGAATTGGATTTTTTGTTTTAAAAATTTATTTTTGAGTTTTTTTTTTCTTTTCTCATTTTGTAAATATTTATTTTTAGCCATTTTTCCTTATTTTCTAAAATGCTCAACATTAGTAATTAATGAATTAAAACTTATAAAATTAAAAACACAACAAAATCAATCCCTAATACAAGTAAATTATTCAAAATCATAAACTTTTAAATAAAATCATAAACTAATACAAACACATATTTTAAAATCTTAAACTAAATCATCAAAATCATACGCTACCCAACAATACAATTAAAATAAAATAATTCAAAATCCTAAATTTACCTAAAAGTAATTCTTCATTAACTTTTACATTCATAAAAAATATAATAATAAAATAATAATAAATTATTGTCAAATTTCATGTAATTCAAACCCATTAAATAATATAAAAATATTTACAAACTTATCAACATCATCATAAAATAATAATAATAATAATAATAATTCTAAATAAGGGCATGCTCTTGCAGATGTAGGTAAAAATTACAACCCACTTACAACCTGCAATAATATCATATTACAAATCATATTTATCTATATTGTATTTACGAAACCGCTCATTTGTATGGTAATCGACTTCAGCGATTTGGGGCTTTTCCCAAATTAAGCCAAATTAGTAACCTATTTCCCAAACTAGGTTAAAGTGTTATTACAAACCACGTTTTCACTGTTTCCAGGCCCCTCCCGCAGAAAATTTGTGAAATAATAAAAGCGTGGTTACAAACCACGCTTTTAATTAAGAAGACGTGATTACAAACCACGCTTTTAAGTTAATCATAAAACGTGATTTCAAACCACGCTTTTAAGTAAAATATTTTTTATTTATTTTTTATTTATTTTTTCTGAAAACGTGGTTTCTAACCACGCTTTCTTAATTAAACTGTGTTCCAAAGAAAGCGTGGTTAGAAACTACGCTTTCAATGCACCAAACACACGCACTCACAAACACTCTCTCTCTCTCTCACTCTCTGACACAAACACACACATGACTCACACACACTCACACTCAATATATATATATAAATTTTATTTCATCAAATTGAAACCAATATTAAATAGGGGAATTTTTTTTTAGGTCCCTGGTATTAAGACTTTACAGCATAAAAGACACTTAATATTTTCATAATGTTTAAGGTCCCTCAAGTTGATCAAGAGAAAATTAGTCCAGAGAAAATTTGTCTAGAGAAAATTGGTCCAGAGAAAATTCCTCAATATTTTCATAATTTCTTCACCTATTTGAATTTGCAGCATTACCACCATGGGTTTGTTTACATGGTCTAGAGAAATT